CGGGTGATCGCAGACAGGCAGGCAGGCAGGCAGCTGAAAAAAACCCCCTCTGGGGTCCTTGGGTCCTTCCTGGGTCTGTTGTCGCGCAGGCCGGGAGCTCGCGCGCACGCCGCCGGGTGATCGCAGACAGGCAGGCAGGCAGGCAGATTTTGTGGACTGAATGTGTGTGTCGCTTAAAAATTCACAAGTTGAAGTTGTAAATCCTTATTTAGATGCACAGCCCTTGGGCGGTAACGAGGTCTTCAAGGTGGAGCCCCACATCTGGTAGATTCTGAAGAACTCAATTGCCAAGTGACCAAGTCTTCTCACTTCTGCTTTTCTTCAATCTCCAGTGTTTCCTCTTGAAATCAAAGTGTCTTGTGGTACTGGGGACCAATCTTTAGGAATCCATGCTGCTACAACAGCCATGTATGAAGAAGTGAAGCAAGGTCACAGGTAATGCCACCTCCAGCAGACAAAGACTTTTTACGTTGGCGTTTCTTCGATCTTCTTCACTTGTTTTTTGGCCCCTCTGTTTGTGCGTGATCTGCTCTCCTAGTAGAAGCGCTAACCCTTCTTGTCTTGATTGGGTTTGACTTCTCAATGCAGGTCCAGCTCCAAGCAATCTGTGTGCACCTGAGACTTCCAACAAGCACATGGCTGGAAGCCACCAGGTATTGTTCTGCCTAAATTACATCATTTTTAAGATGTTTATAAATCCTGGCTAAGATATTCAGTCTCATTTCAAGCAAACAGGTGTGTGAATGACCAAGAAAGAACAGTTTAAGTGTCACAATGTATTATCCATCACACAAAGTCTAAGGCTGTTAAAAAAAGTTCTCTTAACATTTCCCAGGTGGGAAAATGCAATGATCAAGTCCTATCATCTGCTCCAGGGGACTACAGAGGTGGGAACATCTCACAAGTCAGTACCTCCTCTCCTTCAATGGTGCATAACTTTACCGTTATCAGAGAAGGAACATGCACACATAAAATACAGGCTTTTCACATTGGGATGTACATGAATACTTATCACCAAATTATTCTCAAAAGTGTAACTGCCACTAGGAAAAAGAGTATATATTTAAAAAACTGTTTTGATACCCAAAATGCAGTTCTCGGAGCAGAAGCACTGGCATCTAGTGGGTGTAAGAAAGGCAGATTTGGGTCTGAACAGCCAACAACACTGACACCAGACATACTAAAGCCAACTCTGCAGGTTTTCAAGACACTGAGCAAAATGAATGCACACTAGAGTTTGAGGAGAAGGAGCCTATATTATAATAGTAAAACAAATAAGCAAATTGAAAAAAAAAAACCTTCCCCCCACCAAAAAAAAACTTCACTGAAATGTTACTGTGAGCCAATATATAAGACACACTTTTAAGATAATCTTACTTAGTCCTCCCAGCAAATGCCTAGTATTCGCATTTTACAGGTAAGGAGTTTTGGATAATTACTCCTAGATCACAAAATGGTAAGCTGCTAAAACCAAGTAGTATTATATGCCCAGTGCTTAGAAAAACATGCTTAGCAGATAAGCATTCAGTATATATTTAATAAGTGCATGTACACATGGTGTAACTATAAATAAACTAATGAACTGTTACACAAATTTAGAGCTTAATTCCAAAGCTCACACAATTAACCTTTAGTTTCTGACTCTCTACTACTTATGTATAGTTTTCTTATTCCAAAACCTTGTTCTTTTCTACAAAGTAATAAAAGACTAGAAAGAATTTTCAGAGTCTTTGAGAAAATGTGCTATTTAATGTGAGGAAGAACAGCTTTTCACCCCGAGGATCTCTTTCCTCCAAGAAGACAACCTAAGGGTTGTTCTAAGTTTAGAAATAAATAAATTAGCAAATGCCAAAACACTCATACTTATTCCTCTTCAGTGAGCCCACTGTTTCAAATTTATGTTTTGTATAATACAAACAGATGGTTTTAAAGAGTTATCTAGAGGAAGACAAAAGTGCACCAAATTCCTAAACTTTTCTTTTTTACAAAAGCATATATTGAATATTAACATATAACAATTCCTCATATTAAAAAAAAATGTTTCTCAAATCAGACACTCAAAGCAGACTAAAAAACAACTTCTGGTTAATTCTAACTATTAATGAAGTAAACTGTGAAAATGGCCACAAATTCTTCCCCTCTCTGCATGAAGAGCCTTGCATTGCAGTGTGACATCGCATATCATAGCAGATGGTGTCTACTTCTCCATCCTTCAAATCCAGCCACAAGGCTGGCACTGGCCAACAAGATTATCAACCTGAAAAAGCACTTAAGCACTGGGTTTTCTCTCCTGCTGCTGGGAACCCGGCAAGCAAGCTTGTGCTGAGGATGTAGTTCAGTGGTAGAGTGCATGACTAACACACACACAAGGCCCAGGGTTCTAGTACCAGCACTAGAAAAAAAAAAATCTCCTAAGACACCAGGCTAGCAAGCTAAACGCAGAGGGACAGTTAACACACGTGACTCCACTTCCAAGAAGCAAACCTGAGTGAGGTCATTCCAGCCATCTCCCTGCTGGTCCACCAGACAAGTGACTTACATATTAGCAAGCTCTGCAGAGATTAGCTAAGCTGTCTTAGATAAGAGACAATCATGAGATAAATACATGGTGTTTACTTTAAAGCCACTGAGTCTTTGGGTGGTTTGTTACACAGCAAAACCTAACTGATTAATAGCCACTAAACAACAACAACCTGATATTGTCCAAATAGTTTCAGTTATACCTTCTATGGTTATACATTTATTCTGACTCATAACTCATACTTTAGAATAAAATATGATGCTAAACACTAATGTTTTCAGGAAAGAGGAGGCTTTGATCTTGGCAGGTATTATCTACTTTAAAAGGTTATTTCACTGCTGGGCATTGTGGCACATGCCTGTAATCCCAGCACTTGAGAGGCTGAGGCAGGAGGGTAGCTGTGATTTCGAGACCAGTCTGAGCTACATAGTGAGTTCCAAGTCAGTCTCAACTACACAGTGAGACCCTTCTCAAAATACAAAACAACGATATAAAGTTATTTCATTAATCTAGGCTCTGATTCACTTCATAAATGACTGGGGTATAGTGACAAGTCCAAAGGAAAAAAATCTCATCAAATAGTCTTAACCAGAACTGTAACTAAATGACTATGATAAGTCATGTGGGAAATAATCCTAATCAATTAATAATAGTTTATGTTTTTTACCAAGATTGTGTATCTTGACAGCGACTCTCCTAAAAGTATTAATTAGTCTTATTAATTCACTTGGAATAATTTATTAATTACAGTGATGGCCTTCAGCAACTGTTCAAGTGTGAAGAGACTAGATTTGTGGAGCTAAGTAATCTTAAAGGGATGAGACTATAAAATTCCTCAATTAACTAGTTAAGAAAAGGATAAATATAAGAACTGTGGCTATATAATTTTATTATACAACAAAGTGTGTTACCAGATGAAGTCAGGCGGTCTGAACTTAAATTGTAGCTCCACCACTTAATAATAACAGGCAACCTATTTCAATGCCTCAGAAACTCTCTAGAAAAGACCTAATAATAGCAGCTACCTTCATAAGGTTGTATATAGTGAGGATTAAATCCACACAGTGTACCTGGTACAAGCGTCAGTGGATGGGTAAACTGACAGGAAGAATCTAACTAGTCATTAGCAGCAGTACTATGACCACCACCCATCATTTCTTAAATACTTACTGGAAAGGTATTTGATTTTCCATTAGGAAGAACTACCTCAGCTGCTTCAACCCTTTCATGGGAAAAAAGCAAAAAAGTTTAAATGGATCATACAACCTAGAAATGTGTACAGTTAATAAATCTTTCATTTATCTGCAAGCATAACACATTACATCTATCACATCCTACCCTGCTGTTTGGCTTAATCTTTCTGTACACAATGGTGGGAACCTATGGCACACGTGCCACATCAGGCAGAGCCCCGTCGGCAGGTGAGGCCAAGTGGTCCCAGCACTGCTTCAGCAGCTGAGCATCCAGTAACAGCAGGGCTGGTGCCTTGCAATAAATATGTGGGACTTAGGTTACAGTTTGGGCACTCATCACTAAAAGGCTTGCCACGACTGCTATATACTGGCACACTACATCATCCTGTGTTCTAAGGCTCCCGAGTCCCTTTAGGCAGTGTCCACTTGCAAAGTTTATTTCCTAGTAGTGCACAGTATGCATCCTATATGGAATCCTTGGCAATACTGATATGGACCCAGGACCTACAGGGTAGTGTGTTACACAACAAAGCCAACCAATAACAACCACTGAAATGCAAGTCAATTCTTTTAAAAAGCTGCTTTGTACCATGTAATTTTAGCCATGCTTTTAATAGTTATACATTTACTCTGAATTATAAATAATACTCTGGGACAAAGTATGATCCTCATGTATAGTAGGGGCCATAAAGGCTTATTAAATAAATTTGATTTTAAAAATGCTTTGGAAAAAGTAATCTTGCTAATATATATAGGATACGTACTTCAGTCTTAAATACAGTTCTCCACCTTTGCTTAGTTGTTCCTTTTTCTGTTCTTGAATCTTTTACATTCTCAAATTCAATGACCCCTAAACACAGCTTACATTTCATTGCCACCATGAGGCTGTCCCAGATTGCTTCAGCTGCTGGGAACTTGTCCTTACAAAACCCAGAATAGCACCAAAACTTTTAATTTAAAATACCTACCACTTTTTATTTTATATATTATTTAGATATACATTTTATCTCCCCAAACATACTCTATATTCTAGTAACATTTTTCATCATCATATTTAGCCCAAGGCCTTAATATCTTGGCTTCAGAACAGCAGGCCATCAACAAAAATGCTCAAGGAACTTACGTAAATTGATTTTGACAATATTCACTGAACATGGTGACAATAATATCCAGGACTATTTTTGCCTGCAAAATGAAAATACAAATAATATGGTAATCTATAAAAACATTCTCTCAGGATAGGGATTTAGCTTAGTGGTGCTGCCGCCTGCCTCGCAAGAACAAGGTCCTGAGTTTGATCCCCGGTACCAAAAAGGGGGGAAAAAATCTCTCTTCACTCAGAGGGTAATGAATATTCAAAATAATTTAGTCTCCCAACAGTTGAAAATGGACCCTTACACGTACATTCTAAAAATGGAAGTGAAATGAAAACTTATGTGTAGGCTTGTTCTCCTCTTCAGGTGTTCTGCATTTATGTAGTTCTCTGAGAATTACAATCCATGACTGAGACAAATCATTTAGTTCTCCTTCCTTCAACCTTCATTCATCAGTTTTCAAAAGAGATAAATGGCTCATTATTGGAGTAAACATTATCAATTTCATAAATCTCTGAAGCTAGACTGCTTGAAACCTGGCTCAGCCACTTAGTAACAATGTGACTTTGGACAAACTACTTAGCCTCTTGGCATCTCAGTTTTCTTAACTGTTAAGTGGAGATTAAAAAAAGTTCCCATCTCATTCGTTACTATGAGGATCAAGTGCATGAGTAAACACTAAACACGTAGAATGGTATGTAGTAAGAAACATCTAAGTTTGTTAAATAACTTTTATTAACTGAAAAAAGTATTCTTAGGAAAAAATATAGCTTAATTGAGATATGTTTTGCTCTTATGTATATTCATATGTCTGACATAAGCTTCAGTAAAGATATCCAAGGTTTGTCAACACATAAATTTAAACCTTAAAGAAATTTAAATAGTAAAATCTGTATTACCTTGACAATATTTCTGAAGGCAAATTTGATAAGTAAAAATTATACATGGAATACCTAGAATGGTCTCTAATCTGTAAGGTCTACATGAATGCCATTTATTTGCTTCTTTCTATACTTCAGCCTTCTGCCATTCAAGCTTACCTTTCTTAGTTCGCTTAACTGCCATCTCATTCCATGCTTTACTGGGCATGTGTAAAAGTCACATGCCATAAAAGAAAGCTTTCGTGGCAATCCAATCCAATCCAATCAATGTAGTGACTGAAAGTGAGTAAACATCTACAAATCCATATTCTGATATCTTTGTGGCATGAACCCTTCATCAATTTGCTAAATGAAACTTTATAGCCAGTTCCTTTAAAAAAAAATTACTAAGTATACATAGGTACCGCATTATTTACCAATTGAATTAAGTCAACTAAGATACTGTATACACTTTACACAGATCACCTTAGAGCACTTATTCTAGTCTCTGTTTTATAGTTACATAAATGGCTACTCTCACTAGACCAGGAGTTCTTTGAAGTCAAGTATCTCATACCTCATTATTGGCACTAGAAAGACATTAGGTGCTTCTTAAACTTTTGTTGAAGTAACAAAAGTGCTATAAACAAAGTGCAGAATATCTGCAACTTTTTAATATTATACATTACTAAAAGATGTTCCTACTTACAAAATAAGCACATTTTACATTTTAACCATATAGTCTTAGTCCAAAAGCAAAATCTATCCTAACTGGTGGTACAAAAATAGAGTAAAAGTTTTTATTTACCTTAGTAAAGTCAGTTCCTGTGCACTCAATAAATATATTTCTTGAATTTACTGTTATTTTGGAGTGATTCCCTGAAATGAATAGAAAATAGAAAAAAAAAAAACAGTTTCAGAAATAAGTATTGCAAAGTTTAAATTTAGAACAAAATATTAAAATCTACAGATCAGGGAATACACAACTTTTATTTTATTTTATATATATGTTTTGCACCACTGGGTATTGAACCCAGGGCCTTTGCACTGAGCTACATTCCCAGCCCCCTCCCTGCTTTTGAGGCAGGGTCTCATTAGTCACTAAGTTGACCAGGCTGGGCTTGCAACTGTGATGCTCCTACCTCAGCCTCACACAGTGCTAAGATTACAGGTGTGAGCCACCATACTTAGCCACAACTTTCATTTTAAGTTGAAGAATATAAAGTAATACCAAGCTTTTACTGCAAGCACTATCTTATTTAATTTTCACCATAACCTTATGACATAATTATAATCATGATAACTAAGAGAAAGCCTCCAAAAAGGCAAACATCTATGGCTTAAGTATCATTAAAGTTGTACACTCTTGAATTGCCTCACAAAATAAACTTACGAAAAAAAAAGTAAAGTTTTAGTTTCACTATAAAACTACAAACAAGACAGAGTTTGAATACTGCTAAAACTAAAACATCAACAGTTTTTGGAAGAATATTACAGAACCCCAAGTCTGGTAGCAGACAATATTAACGTAAGTATTTACATATTTATAATATTTATACATTTATGAATAAAATGTTAAGAAAATGAAATGAGCTATTACAGTAAAATCAAAAGCTCTGAGACTCTCAAGATCTATTTAATTCATCCAAGTCCATAGCCAATTTTACAAAAATGTTAATGAATAAGAAACAGAAAAAAATCCATGATGTTCATAAGTAACTCACCATTGATGATTGGAGGCATTGAAAGTACAACACCATTGCTATCATAGATAACTGGATACAGAGGCTTATTTTCAATGATATGTAAATAATGTTTAAGGTGGTTGTCAGTCTGGAAAAAAATTAAGTTAAAAAAGTTAGCTTTTTATTTCTTTTACTATAACTAGTTTAACACTCTAATTTGACCTTAAAAGAGGGGTGGAATTGATAAAAACAAGAAAACATGCTAAATTATAGAAAGCTCTAAACTTGTAACATTTTCTAGTAAAAGTTAAATTCTTAACATCTTTTTACTTCATCTCCTACCAGAGAGACAGGAAAACACAACTGAGTCATTTTTCAAGATGGAAGATAGATAAGCACTGGTATTCCTATGTTATATCAAACAAGATGCAAACCATCTCAAGACTATTCAGATACACAGAAACCTCTTGCAAAGCAGGCCAAGGGTAACAGCTCCCTTTTCCAAGTTATACTCACCATTTCTATTTGTGAAGTGATGGCTGAATTAATTTTTCCTGCTGTACTCTATGCTAACAGGAGGTAAACATCCTATAATAGCAGTCACACACATGGACTTACACACACACAAACTAGCTAAATCTTACTTTTCTTATATTGCACATATTTGAAGATTATAATGTGGCTATAATCTGTGTCAGTGATTCTCAATTCTAACTGTACACTAAAATCATTCCAGAAGTTAAAAAAGTAAAAGTAAACAAAACTGAGATTCAGGCCTTACTCTGAATCAGGTGAAACTGATTAGAGCCCAGAAGCTGCAATTTTTAAAAAGTATTCATTACATTTCCCTAATTCACTTGACTTTGAAACATTTGATGATTTACACAAGGCTAATGAATAATGAAAATGATTATTTACCTTGTATATATTCATTAGTTCACAGGCAGTATATTCCTTGGTCTTGTTCAGAGGTTTGAATTTGATATCTGAGGGACGCTTGGCAGTATAAGTAAATGGGCCTGACAAAGAATCCAAATCATGGGTACCAATAGCAACCAATGCTCTTTTCCTTAATGTTGAAAAGAGGGGAAAAAGGAGAAAGGAGGGAAAAAAGAAAAGAAGAGAAAAAGACTTGATTGAATATTCCACTGCAGAAGCACTAACAATTATAAAAATTTTTATTTTAAACACTTCCCTAAAACAGCTCATTGCTATTACATGGTATCTATAGCAAATATAATTAACAAATTCTTGAATCGATGAAAACAGTAAGAAGTAATAAAGCTACTTAAAACATTTCAATAGCTCAAGCAGATTCTTTGCCACTCTGCTTTCCCAAGTACCTTGTTACAGAACATCTTCAAAGTCAGCAGGCCCCTAGGGGCTGGGAATTTAGCTCAGTGGTGCCACCACCTGCCTCACAAGCACAAGGTCCTGAGTTCGATCCCCAGTACCAAAAGAAGAAAAAAAAAAAGTCAGCATGCCCTTTATGCCTGTTTCCTCTTGTCCTCTAAGAAGCATAAATCTTTGACTGAATTAGAATAAACTATCAAACTGCTATTTTGGGGGGGCTTTTCTCTGTTTTCCTAAATTCTCTGAAATAGCTATTTCTTGGGTAATAAAATGACTTAATTTTAACAGCTATAAATTATACTTAAAGTTCCATGTGCAACAGTTCAAAAACTATTCATTTCCATTCTATGATTTAGCTAAAAAGGATGTAAGGCAGCCAGAGATTTGGCTCAGTGGTTCTGCCGCCTGCCTCGCAAGAGCAAGGGCCTGAGTTCGATCCCCAGTACCAAAAAAGATAATAAATAAAAAGGATGTGAGGTAATTTTAGAAATGTATAGCAAGGCACAAAATAAAAGAGAAAGAAATAAAAACAGAAATACAAATCAGAGTCAGGAAAAGTTAATACTAAATTAAAACCTAAAGGCCTAAGTCTTACCAGGAAGGGTCACAAATTTGGCTCTAAGCCTTCTAAGAGTCAACCCAAAAGAGGGATTTGGTCAAAATTTACATTCTTAAAACTTCTTAAAATGAGTTGAATGTGTACGTGCACATGTATTTGAGGATTCATGCATAAGCAAACATGTATGTGAAACATTAGATGAATAATATTAAATTCTGGTCAATCTCCAAGACTGGCAAACTAGAACTTTAACAACCACAGTTGGACCGAACAGAACAGCTGGCAAGCAAAAAAGGAGGCAACACTTTAGCCAGAGAGTTACATGCTCATGGACAATAACAAACTATAACTACAACAAGACAAAAATATATATAGTTGAACGAGTTTAGATGAACCATCGTTTACAAAATCCAAAAGTAAGAATGTAGAAACTGATTCGCCCTAGAAAAAGTACCATTTGATCAATGAAAAACAGAAAGACAAAAAACATCAATGAAATCAAAAGTCCTTTCTTTGAAAAATCAATACAACTGATAAATCTCTAGCCGCACTAATCAATTAGGAAGAAAGAATAAGGAATAAAAGAGGTGGCATCATTATAGATATTACAGATGTTTAAAGAATACAGAAACATCATGAACAACTTTGTCCCCCCTCCCTCCCTATCTTTTCCCACACTGGGTATTAAACCCAAGCCTGCTCTACCACTAAGCTAGATCCCCAGCCCTGATTTAAATTTTGAGACAAGGCCTGTCTAAGTTGGCCAATCTGGCCTCCAACTTGTGATCCTCCTGCCTCAGCCTCCCAAGTAGCTGGATTACAGGCATGTATCACTGCAACAAGATTAATTTTTATTTTTAAACATTTTTCACTGCAGAATACAATATTTAAGGTTCTCCTACCCTGTCCCTACCCCATCTCATATAACCCCAAGCATTTCTCCAATCTCTACAGTTTACTACCTACAATTAAATAAAAATTTGCTTTTCTATTATTATTCAAGATATATAAAACTGTCTGTATACCTTTGGATCAACATGAGATACAGGATCAATACAAAGAAACTTGAAATTTGCCTAAAATCTTGGTTCTCTCATCATCAGTAAATGTAAGAATTTTTGAAATACTAGCCAGGCACAGTGGTGCGCACATTATCCTAGCACTTGAGAGGCTGAGGCAGGATGATTGCCATGAGTTCAAGGCCATCCAGAGCCACAAACTGAGTTCAAGGACATCCTGAATTACATAGTGAGACTCTGTCCCAAAAAACAAAACAACAAAAAGGGCTGGGGGAAAAAAAAGGGGCTGGGGATTTAGCTCAGTGGCACCACACCTGACTCACAAGTACAAGGTCCTGAGTTCAATTCCTGGGAACCAGGAGAAAAAAATAAAAAGAATTTTTGAAATACTTTAATTCAAGGTCTCCCATTTTTCTCTGACTTGTAGAGATGTGGGAATTATAGGTTTAAAGTTCATTGCACTAAAGAGAGCTGTATGAGAAATGATGTAAGACAGAATAAGTAAAATTCAGTCATTTAAATTCAACTTTATGCATGCATGTATGCATGCAAAATCAAGTTTTAATTGTCAATTTGTAATTACAGTAATTTAAAAAATAAGATCAAGCCAAAAATGTTTTCCATTTTTTAAAATGTTAGTTCATGTTTCAAATTAGCATGGTTTACATTTAGTATATAATCATTAATAATAATTTGAACAAAGTAAAGAAAAAACATCTCCAGGATTAGCTAATTGCTTTTGATGTGTCATTCAAAATATATAGTCTCTCTGGCCAGGGATTTGGCTCAGTGGTTCCACTGTCTGCCTTGCAAGCACAAGGGCCTGAGTTCAATCCCTGGTACCACCCCCATACCCCAAAAAATACAACTACCATTTATAAACAGTAACAAAAACGCTGGGCATAGTAACACCCATCTGTAATCCTGTGTCACTTGTAATCCTGACAATCTGGGAGGCTGAGGCATGAGGCTAGAAAATTCAAGCTCAGCCTGGGCAATTTATCAAGATCCTGTCTCAAAATAAAAAACAAAAAAGGCTTGGGGAGATATAGCTCAGTGTGAAGTCCCTACGGTCAATCTCCAGTAGCAGGAGGGAAAAAAAGTAACAAATATGTCTGATCAAGCAAAGTTAAACTCTCACATAACATGCTACTAAGTTTACACATGGTTGGAAAAGATTCTGCAGAAGAGAAGAAAAAAAGAGAGATGGATTGAGGGAAGGTAGAAGGAGTAAGAAGCTAAAGGGAAACAGGAGAGGAGAAGGGAAGGGAAGGAGGAAACAAAACAAAACCACAAACCTGCAAATATTCTGATGTAATTTCTCCTGAAGTTCAATGAAGCTGTCATATCGATCCTTGGTAAACTTTATGTTCCGGAGAACTGCTGCTACTGCAAAAGGGCGTACTTTAGCTGTCTGAAATTCATAATTCCATTAGAGATAGTAAATATTAAGCCTTTTTCTGTGTAATAATATCTTACACTAAAAAGGGAGTTATACTCTTGGAAGTGTCACAAATTTTTATTCAAACAAGTATATGTATATTTATTTAATCAACAAATACAGTGAGATTTGTGAAAATGTACTGAGAAAATATTAATCATTAAATAATTTGCTCATAGTTCATATTTTTACCAAAATAAGACTGTATCTTGGAAAACTTCATTGATATTCCACAATTTAAACAACTATATCTGCAATGCGTTTCCTTTATTTACTTTATTTTTGCAGTGCTGCTCACTGAACTCAGGGCCTTGCGCTTGTTAAACAAGTCCTCTTATCACTGAGTTACATCCCCAGCCCTCAAATGTGTTTTTAGTAAGTATTTAGATATTTTCACAAATTATTTACGGAGAACAGGTATTTTGTTTTCTTTTGTCTTGGTAATAAGTTAACAATTTTTTAAGGGATAGAGGCTAACAACACATCTATTTCAGCAAATGATCAACTGCTGAAAAAATTACAATTTGCAAGTGTCAGCTTTATTTCTCCCTACCATGCAGATGCATACATAAAATAATTTGTGGCGTTTTATTTTTTTACCAGTACATTTTAGATATACATAATGATAACATTCAGGGGAGGGAACTTATTTTGCTTCTTTTTTTCCCATTCTCCTCCCCTCCACTCAACCCCTCTTCTTCACTTTATTTACAAAAGCTTTGTTTCCATTACATAAAAGAAATTTTTTAAAGGGAAAAATAAGAATTTATCTTTCTTACCTCTTCTGTGACAATCAACTTTTGAATTTCTCCATTAGGCATTACCCGTTTATACACTGGAGCTTTTATCCTAAAATAATATCATAACAAAGTTACTCATAATTAACCAAAACACTTGGTAATTAATGATATTCTCTGCGTGTAAATAGTATAGAACAATCAACAGAATTAGTGCAAAGGGTTGAATAACAGAATGTCAACTTGTGATTTAATATTTTTTTAAAATAACACTTTCTAACATTTAAAGTTGTCCAAAAAATGACACAAATTACTTCACAGTAAACAGTTTCCTATCACTGGAGTCCCAGGGAAGGCTACAAAATCATCAACAAAGCATTGTGCAACGGGGTGAATTAGATAATGTTTACATTTTATTGCAACCATAAGATTCTGAGCTCCGAAGAAAAAAATGGTCTTATTAAAAATATAGATTTCCTGGTCCTGGACCTACTATCAAAAAAAGTCAAGACAAAAGACTCGGTAACTGGTGCGCTCTGAAGGCATTTCCACGCAGTTCTTACGACCAGAGGTTAGAAACTGCTATTTTAGGGCAGTGTTTCTCAAGCTTCAGTGCATATTCAATCAGCTGAGGAGTCTGCTAAGCTTCATATCCTGATCCAGTGAGTCTGAAATGGAGACTGAGAGTCTGCATTTCTCTTCTCCCTTTTCTCCCCCCTACTGTATTGGAGATCAAATCCAGGGGTGCTCTACCACTGAGCTATAGGCCCACCCCTTTTTATTTTGAGATGGGTCTCACTAAATTGTCCTGGCAGGTCTTTTAAGCTTTTGATCCTCCTGCCTTACCCTCTCTCAGTGTTAGGATTACAGGCCACCACACATGGCAAGAGTCAGCATTTCAAATAAGCTCTCTCGTGATGTAGGTGCTTCAGGGCCACAGACCATATTTTTAAATTGCAAAAATTGTAAGTTTGGCAGTTCGGCAGCCAGGTAGTGGCACATACCTGTAATCTCAGCACTCAGGAGGCTGAGGCAAGCGGATCACTATGAGTTTGAGGCCAACTTGGGTTACACAGTGATTTCAAGGCCTAGCTAACCTACAGAGACTGTATCTCAAACAAAAATCCCAGTAGGTAACTAATATAGAAACAGATTCTGATCAGGCAGGTCTAGTGCTACTCTAAACAGGTATCACTGACCCTAAAATATAAGAATCCAATTTATGGATAGAACCAACTGGGTCACCCCAAAACTGTAACCACATTAACCAAATGGCCAATCACATCACTGATGAGAAGCTTTCCTAAATTCAGAATCTACTCAACACAAGGAGGCTCATTTTTTTACAAATGACCAAAATAATCAAAACAAAAATAATGATTTCTTTAATAGCAAAACATTTATTGGCACATTTTAGACATACATAATTATAACACTCATCATAGGGAATTTGCACCTTGTACATGGTACATCCTGCCTCTTTTTAAAAATGACTTTTGTTTTGTTTTTTGAGGCAGGGTCTCAGTTCAGGCTGGCCTTGAACTCATGGCGATCCTCCTGCCTCAGCCTCCCTAGTGCTGGGAATACAGATGAGTGCCACCATGCCTTGCTAAAAATAACTATTTTTTATAGCTTTTTTTTTCCAACTTTCTTACTTTACAAATTTATTGCATTCTGTATTAATAAAGAGTTGAAAGGGGCCTTTAAAACCTTTTTCTTCATAGATTAAGAGACTGAAACTACAGAAGCCAATTAACATGCCCAAGCTTACACAACTATCATAAAATACTTGTTTTCCACTTAGGACACTACACAAAGTACTGCCTCCTGTGCTTTTCTCCTGACCTTTAACAAATCCAGCGAACTATGCATCCCAGGAAGATCACTGAGGGAAATTACATAAACCTGCTAAAAAATTTTTTAAGCAATAAAAATTCATGGACCCCCATTTTAAAAATAATTCCGCAAATGAAAGGGTGAATACCCGGGCAAATTTCAGATGGCTACAATCCATTGAGTGTCATCCTCCAGTCATCCCACTGTGGCTGACAAACTGTACCTGCCGAGGGTCCTGACAGGGTAAGAAAAGGGAAGAGATCCAACTTAGCAAAGTATTTCATACACACATTTCCTTACCTTTCTTTAAAGACCTGAAGTCCTCGAACCAATCCTTCCAGACACAGGAGGTCGTATCTATTGGCAGGGACATCAATTTTGTAAAGAATAACATTTGAGGCCCCCTCTGCTTTTACGTTACCTTGTTCCTTACTTATTATTTCCTTCTCAGAAGTCTAAAACAAGCCAAAGAGAAAAAGAGAAGTTAATAATAACTTGTTCTTTAATAAAACTATGACATTACATGCTTTTGAGCAAGAGAAACAATGAAAATATTACATATATTAAAAATATATTTATATATAATATAATATATAATATAATAAATATAATATATATAATATAATATATAAAATATATATATTTGGGG